ACACCTTCAGTACTCCCACTTATCCAGTACCCCTGTTCCCTGTCTACCAGTGTGTCCCACCACAGCCATGTTCTACCTAGGCAGTATCCCCATCATTGTGTCCAGTCGCCTTCATGCCTCATCCCACTATGTGCCCTCACTCTGGTTGTGGGATGGTTCCCCCCCCCCCGCCCACCTAGCAGTATTGGATTGGCTGTGCTGTATCTGAGTCCCAGAGAGTCTGGTCCTTTGAGTCCTGTCTCCAGACACAAGGAGGCAGCTCAGAGCCCATCAGTGTCAGTGTCTACTCCTAGGCTAGTTAGGCATTTGTTCCTGACAGGAGGTAGACCTGCAAGTGCATTGTAGAGAAAGCCCAGGTGGATCTGATAGCCTGTCGTGAATAGCAGTTCATGGCTGAGGCCCCCGTCCCCAGCAGACTCAGGCCTCTGTTCCCTGGTTTCCGTGGGATTTGTCTTCTGCTGTTTCTGATGTGAACTGGTCCCCGAGTGAGTTGTGTTGGTCTACTGGAATTCCACCATGCTGCAGCAAGTACAGACATTCCTCAGTGTTGACTGGAAGCTGGAGCAAGCCTGGCCTGCATCCGAGAAGCATATGGAGCCTCGATTTTATTATACTTTCTTATAAAGAGCCAGGAAGCTTTCCCTGCTTAACAATGTGTGTTTATAAACAATAGACTTATGATGAATATTCCCATCTGTTAGGTGAACATAGTATGTGTAGGAATTCTGGTAATAGGTGGAGAGCTTAGCAACTTTTCCGTAATATTTTCCCCCTGGTGAGACATTATCCTAAGAGACAGCACACAACAGCATATGCCTAATATTCAATTTCATCTCCGTTTCTTCCTGTTGTTGGAAAGCAATTCTATTTTTGTGCATTAGCACATAAGATTATTATAGAAATTCATAAGAATTGTAGATCTATGCAGGATACTTTAAAGGGGGGGAGCAGTAGAATGTGTAACAATTACATCAGTATGGTTATGTTGCCATGATAAAACTGTCCTTGTCCCTTTCTGGGTCTGTACTCTGGTGACCTGCACGAGTTCTTTTCTGAAAACTTTTGTTGATTTTGCTGTACTCTCCAAAACACTTGTTATTGTAATCACAGTATAGTATAATCAAACTGCACATCCTTCTGATTCTGATTTGTAATTTAAATAAATGGCCTTGACTCTTTATGCTGGGTTTGGTATCATTCTGATTGTCTTCACTAATTAATTTTGTTTGAGGTGAACTGTTCCTCATAATAGAACAGAAATTTTAAGATTAATACTCAGCAATATTTTTTCTTATCCTGAAAGATTTTATGAGTCCTGCCATAAGACCATAAGGAGGTTATCAGGGGAAATCTCACTTTGATTAATATTTGCTTATTGTTGAATTGCCTGTATTGTCCAAATGTTTTATTCACTTAAAATTGTTCCTCTCAGTTCCCTTTCCAGGGTGACTAATTGGACATACTTGAATAAAAAGATGAGCAATTAGTTGAATATCAATGATTCCAGGTCTGCTTGGGCACCAAGCAAGTACAACATACTAAGCACATTATCTTGTACCTGAGTTGTTTTAAGTCTCTGATTATATTTTGCAAGAGGACATGTCTTTAAAGACAGACAGCCATCCCAGTACCACGCTCTATAGAGAATAGGAATCAGGGTATCTTGTAGCCCCAGCTTCTCCCTTCATTACCATTCTCTTCCCAATGTGAAAAGTATCCTGACCTCATGTCTGACTCCTTTACTTCTTCCTTCAAAGGTGAGGATTTCTTTTATTTTGTTACAGTGTGCACACATTTAATGCACATATGTCTTTAGCTATTTATGACAGGATCCAGCTTAGAGCCTTGTACACGCTAAGTGAGCACTCTGCTACCAAGCTGTGACCCTAACCATATAGCATTTGTTTTTTGTTTGTTTGTTTGTTTCTGAGATGGGGTCTTCCTGTAGCCCCAGCTGACCTGGAACTCACTGTGTAGACCAGGCTGGACTTGATCTCACAGAGATCTGCCTGCCTTTGCCTCCGGAGTACTGGGATTAAAGGTATGGGCCACTACACCCAACTTAACTCATATATCTTATTTTATTTATTTTTGTATGTGACTTGTAGTATGTGAACATGTGTGTGTGTACATGAAGGCTAGAGGAGGATGTCAGGTGCCTGATCTGTCATGTTCTACCTTATTTACTTGAGGTGTTTGCTCATTGAATGTGAATCAAGACTGGTGACCAGAAACCCAGCAATCCTATCTCTACCCTGTTAGCACTGGGGTTACAGGTGTGTGCAGTCATACCCAGCTTTGCAAGTGGGTCTGGAATTTGAACTTAGGTGCTCATACTTGCACAGCAAGCCCTTTGATCCACTGAGTCAGATCATCATCCCACGCACCTTATTTTTTGTTGTTCTGTTTCTTTGTTCATTTGTTTTAAAACAGTGTCTCCCTGTAGCCCCAGCTGGCCTGGAACTCACTATATAGACCAGGCTGGCCTCAGTCTCAGAGAGATCCGACTGCCTCTGCCTCCTAAGTGCTGGGATTAAAGGTGTGTGCCACCACAGTGCATTTTATTTTAATGTGATATGGTAGACATACAACCAGCTGTCCGCATTTGTGGATGAGCATATACTCATGAGCCATTGTCACAGTTTACAGTGCAGTGCCATCCATCACTTGCAGGTGTTCACCCTAACCTCTTCTTTCAATACTGTTTTTCTGTACTAAGGACATAATAGGGCTAGCGAGGCATCTCAAGGTGCTTGGCATGAAAACCTTGTCACTTGAGTTTGATCCCTGGAACCCACATAAAGGTGGAAGAGAGAACCAGCTCCATAAAGTTGTCCTCTGACCTCCACACTGCACCATGCCATTTGCACATGCCCCAGTACAGTATGCACGTACGCACAATAATGAATAAAAAATAAAAGCTAGCAAAGTAAAGAACACATTAGCATAGCTCTGGTCTCTTGGTGAACTTTTCAGTCTACAGAACGGTGGTGTTACTGTGTGCTCTGAGTCTTACATTAGATCTCTAGGACTTTTTCTACTTATATAACTAAAACTTGGCTTCCCTTGGCATTGCCTCATTCCTTTCCATCCTCTCCTGCTGTAACACTTGCTCTGTTTCTGTGGTTCAACTACTTTAGTAGTTGTAATCTTGCACATGCCATTATGTGGTGGTTTTCCTTCTTTGTTTGGCACGTTTCAGTTATCATAATGTCCTCTGGGCTCACCCTTCCTTTCTTCTTTTTTAAGGCTGTATAATATTTTCTTTTATGAATATACCACATTTTCTTTGTTCGTCTGTTGACATATCCTTTGTTTCCATTGCTTGGCTAGAATGAAGCTGCAATGAATTTGGGAGTGCAGGTATTTTTTCCAAGTCCTCGATTTCCGTTTCCTTGGCTATGTGCAGGATTATTGGGTCGTATTTTAATATTTTGAAGAACACTTCATTCTGCAGTTGTTGCTTCACTTTACATACCTGGCAGCGCTGGACTAGGGTTAGCTTTTCACTACACTCTTATTTTTTGTTGTTCTGTTTCTTGAATGATTTGTCATTTATCCTTATTATTTGTTAGTGGACCTGGTAAGAACTGAGGGGTGCTCTCTTACCTGTGGTTTGGGGTTTGCCTTTCCTAGATGGCAAGTGAGGCTGATGCCTTTATATGCCTGCTGGTCATTAGCCTCTCTTCTTCAGACTAGTGTACAGCTCCTTTGCCCGTGTTTTCATTGAGTCTTCTCTCTTGCTGCAGAGTTGTGGGGCATTCCTTATGTATCTTAAATTTATACCTTTACAGACAGTTTTCACAAGGCTTGTTCTTGGTTTCTTTGTGGACACTGTCTCATGTCTGCCCAGTTAAAGCACCATCTCAAGTCTGGGTTCAGGAGCTACAAAATTCTCTCTAGTGATCATTAATGATATGTTCTTGCTTGCTTGTGGGATTTTGAACCCCTGACTTACAAAGTAATCATAACCTACAGCAGGACTGTTACAGAAACTACCTCTTTCTGGCCCAAGAGGAGATTTTTGGAAAACTCTAGGTGTGAGGGTCAGTTGCAGCACCAGGAATGGAAACTACTAATTAGGGAACTTTTTCTATCTGAAAAAAACAAACAAAAAAAGCTAACTTCAGGGCACTTGGATATGGAAAAAGAGGAGGAGCACAGTTAATATCAGATGATGGCCACACTCGGGTAAGGAGAGGAGGGTCCTGGGCCGTACCATCTTTGCCTGAGGATGGCCACATCCTGTCCTGAAGGTATCAATGTTCTTCTCTGCACAGTGAGATGGAGCCTTATGTGAAGGTGTCCCCTGTTCCAGGAGTCATTTCTGGAAATTCCAAGGTTTGACGGCATGAAATTAAATAATTTTCCTAAATTGAAAGACCTACTTTAATTGCAGTGACCTTTAATCTTTTAACATTTTTCAGGCAGCTAATGTATTGGTCACTTTTTAGGGTGCTGTGGCCACATACCTGACAAAAAGCAACGTAAGGGAACAACGGTTCACTCTGGCTCACAGTTCAAGGGAACACAGTCCAACAGGGTGGCAAAGGCCAGGGTGTGGGGGACCCAAGGCAGCTGGTCATATTGCAGAGCACTTGGAAGGCAGAGAATGAACAGACAATGGGGCCAGCGTAAAATCTCAAGCCCCCCACCCAGTACTTCACTTCCTCCAGTGATGCTTTACCTCCTAAAGATTCCAGATCCTTCCTGAACACCACCACCAACTGGGGACCAAATGTTCAGAAACATGAGCCTGTAGGGGACAGTTCCCATCAGTGTTGTGCATGGCACTGTGTTGGGCACAGGAAGCCCACCAGGGTCTCAGTTCCTTGGAATGTCTACAGTCTCAACATGAGGAGACATTGATGACATAAACCCCTGCAGGAAGGGCTCCAAAAGTCTCACATTCCAACAATCATTCATCAGTTGAATGCCCAACAGAAAAGATGCCTTGCTGTGCTAGACCTGACTGCTGATGCTGACACTTCCTTTTGCAGATACATCATTCCATCTTTACAGAAGCTGGATGCCGGATTTTACCGCTGTGTGGTACGGAACAGGATGGGAGCTCTTTTGCAGAGAAAATCAGAAGTTCAAGTGGCCTGTACGTGTGCAGTGTGAGGGCCTGGGGGATTACAGAACAGTGGGGGAGGGCATCACCCAATACTCACCCATCCTTGGTTCCTTTAGAATAGCATGATATTGGGTAAGGACATGTAGCTCAGCTGGTAGAGAGGTTGCCTGGCATGCACAAAGCTCTGGGTTTCATCCTCAGCACTGAAAGCCTGGCGTGGTGGTACATACCTGTAATCCCAGCACTGGGGAGGTGGAGGCAAGAGGATCAGAAGTTCAAGATCATCCTTGGCTGCATAGTGAGTTTGAGGCTAGCCTGGGCAACATAAGACCCTGTCAGTAGATAGATAGACAGATAGACTGATAGATAGATACACAGAGAGATAAAATAGAATGATAGTTAAAATTGGTAAAAGGACCAGCAAAACAGCTCGTCTGATAATGGGCCTTGCCACTGAATCTTATGTCCCGAGTTCCACCCCTGGGAACTCACATGGTGAAAGAGAGAACCTACTCCTGCAAGTTGTCCACTGACCTTCATATGAACCCAGCGGCACAAACACACACATACACAAATAAAATAAAATAAATAAATAAATAAATAAATAAATAAATAAATAAATAAAATAGATAAGTAAAAAAATAAAGTAACTTAAAAGATGTTGGACAGTGTGGTGACCCAGGCAGGCAAGGGGCAAGGGAAGCTGGTGCCACTCTCCACTTCCCAACCCCTGGGAGCAGGAAATGAGATTGAAGGTTCCTATTCGAATCAGCTGCTCTGTGCTTATTCATGTGGGATTGAAATGCAAAGTTAAACCCCTTGAAGGTCAGATTCCATCAGTTCCTGCCAGCTAGAAGGCTCCTTCTAGGGCTCTATTGAGAAATTGTTTTGCTGCTCTGCAGATGTGCACAGTTGACATCTCAGCTGCTATTAATGTTGTAGTAGTTTGTTTTTTATTGAGCAGAGCCATTTGGAAGATGAAACTTTTAAAAGTATCTGAAGGAATGATCAAAAGCCAGGAAGCTTGAATCTTCATGGGGTCTTGAGGTTTGAGAAGATAGCAGGAGGCTTGGCCTATGCATGCAGACTGATCTTATGATATGAATTCTTTGAAGTGTAAAGAGCAGATTGTCTGCCTTATTATATTTTGAATGTGCTGTCAAAATGTCTCCGTGTTTTAAAATGCTCTATTTAGCTGGGGTGGTGGTGGCACATGCCTTTAATCCCAGCACTCAGGAGGCAGAGGCAGTTGGATCTTTGTGAGATCAAGGCCAGCCTGGTCTACAAGGGAATTCCAGGCCAGCTGGGACTACAGAGAGAGGGATACTCTGCCTAAAAAGCAAAGAAAGAAAGGAAGAAGGAAAGAAAGAAAAAAAGAAAAAAGGAAGGAAGGAAGGAAGGAAGGAAGGAAGGAAGGAAGGAAGGAAATGCTAAAGTTTTTCAGTATGGCATGTCCTGACCTTGACCCTGACCCCAGCTCCTCTTTGGCTGGTGATTGCAGAATTTCTGTGTTGTAATTCTGGCCCCATTTAGGGTGTGTGTCTTTGTGTCAATATATAATCTCATGTGGAGTTATCTTACTGTTCTACCATAAGCACAAATGACCAAGGAAGGTCCTGATACCAGAGCCACAAGGAAGACATCAGTCTTGCTGGACTGTGGTGATGTCATCCCACTAAATCTGTCTACAGAATAATTTAGAACTTGTATTCAATAGAAAAACAGAAAACATAGTAAATAGAGTGCAGATCAATACCCAAACCATCTGAGGAAGTTAAGAACCTGCAATGTATTATGATGTATTAAATTTTATTTTATGAAGTTTGGACATCTTCTTGAGTGACTGTTTGTGCCCTTGTTCCCACCCTTCACCTCCCCTCTTACAGTTTGTTTGACCTTCCTGTATAACACATTTTATCCACTTTAACCATATCTATTTTCCTAAGGTGTTTTATTATTTTTTCATCTATTCTCTAATCTCATACACTGTCACATATAAAATAATTTTTAATGATAAAGCTACTGATAATAGGGCCTGGAGAGATGGCTAAGCAGTTAAGAGCACTGGCTTCCTTGCAGAAGACCTGGGTTAGGTTCCCAGCACCCACATGGTGACTAATAGCCACCTGAAATTCCAATTAGGGGATCCAGTGCCCCTTCCTGGCCTCCATGGGAATTGCAGACACATGGTACACTTATGTTTATGCAGGCAAAACACTCATTCATATAAAATAAAATATAAAATAAAATAAAGCCAGGCATGGTGACGCACGCCTTTAATCCCAGCACTCGGGAGGCATAGTCAGGTGGATCTCTGTGAGTTCAAGGCCAGCCTGGTCTACATAGTGAGTTCCAGGACAGCTGGAGCTACAGGGAGACCCTGTCTCAAAAAGACCAATAAATAAATTAATTAATTAATTAATTAAAATAAAATAATAACTGCTACAGATAATAGAGCTCTTCTATGGAGAGTTTCAAATTATATGTACTTAAAATATGTGGTGGCTAGAGCAGTGGCTGACTCAACTAAAATGCTTGCTATACCACTGTAAGGGCCTGAGTTTAGAGGCCCAACACCCACATAAAAACCTGAGCGTGGAACTTCATGTTTGTAATCCCTGCAATGAGGAGGTCCAGACAGGAGGATCCCTGGGGCTCTTGGGTCAGCCAGTTCAGCCAGTCACCAAGCTCCAGGCTTGGTCAGAGGCCTGTGTCAACACGTAAGATAGAGAACCATCATGGAAGACACCTGACATCATCATTGGCCTCCACGTGCACATACACACTAGTGTGCACACACTCATAAGCACACCTGTATATACACGGAAACACGTACTTACAATACAACCACACACAAAAAAATGAAAAAAAAATAATGTTGTAATGTCTTTGTATACACATTTGTCTGTACCTGATTGCAATATGGAAACTTAAAATTTCAAGTTACTAATTTTATTTTTTATTTTATTTTATTAGTTTTGTTTATTTTTTGAGACAGGGGCTCCTTGTAGCCCCAGCTGGCCTGGCACTCACTATGAAGACCAGACTGGCCTTAATTTCACAGAGACCCATCTGCCTCTGCCTCCCTCGTGCTGGGATTAAAGGTGTGCCTCCAGTTACTAATTTTAAAATGAACCATTTATATGTATAGTCTAATGGCTGTGTTTCTTCCTATGATGTCAGTTTTAGTTGTTTCAACTAGTAGAACCAGACTGCCCCCAAATTAAGTCAGCAGTTTGGGGGTGGGTAAGAACCCTCTCTAAACATTCCAGTGGTATAAAATACTGCTTCTTTGGGAGGGGGAGGCAAAAGGGCAAGAGGAGGAGCACGAGGAAGAAGAGAATGAGGAGAGGGGAGAGGAAGGAAGAGAGAGGAAGGGGCAGGAGGAGGGAGGGGGAGGAGGGGGAGGAGGAGGACTTGGAGAGCTATTTCTTTGAGTGTTGCATTCAGCTGGGAGCATCCACTGTATTACTGCAGTAAGACAGCGCCCTGCTGATGAAGGCATGGCTGGGCTTTCCCCAGGCTTCACAGCCAGATCTGCACTTGTCAGCTCTGCCGTTCAGCCTGGCTTGTCACATTGTTTAGTGTAGCAGCCTTTGCCTATGTTACTGTAAAATGCAGTTATTTCCCTCTCTGACCCTTACTACTTCCCCCCCAGATAGTGCACTCCAGAACTTAAAAGGTCCAATTTTTCTCTGCAGATATGGGAAATTTCCTGGACACAGACCAGAGGAAAACAGTTTCTCAAGGGCATGCGGCAGTTCTAAACCTTCTTCCCATCCCCAGCCGCCCTAGACCGCAAGTGACTTGGTTTAAAGAAGGACACAAGATTATCCCAAGCAGCAGAATGTAAGTTGCTCAGAACACGGACACTCCAGATGCAATTAATTATGCTTACCTATGCCATTTGCTTAGTAAATGAAATAATTACAGTTACTGGTGGTTTGGAAAGAATAATAAAGCAAAAGGGTTCTTCTGTCCTTAATAAACAGCTGTTTTGAGACTGGCTTATTATTTTTAAGTAGCTTAAGCCAGGGGCCCAGTGTGGTTACTCTCAGCCTTTTGTGCACCCGAACCCGAGGCCCCCGTGCTCTGCAGCTCACTCTCTGGGTTTGAACGTATCTCTCCTCTCCGCTCTTGTCCCTGAATTGTGGTGGGTCCCCTTTACCCAAGGCTGGTGTTTGCTTATCTAGCTGGGCTTTTCCCCCTCTTTTTCTTGAGTCTCGTGTTTGATACTCGTTTCTCTCTGTGATGATAAAGCGGTAAATCGTTAATTACCGCTTATTTTCCCTTTTTCTTTTTCCTACCATGATGGTTTTATGTTCTTACATCTGATTAATGGCTTGCCCATTCTATTTCTGGGTAGTTGCTTTGTGATTTGTTAGTCATTAATCTCAAGGTGTGCCTGTCTATGGAAGATATTTGTTGAGTGTCATGTAGGTTTTCTTCATTTGGAGCTTTAAGAGATTATGAAGAACATTTAACATATATGTGTGTGTATTTATTTTTATTTTATGTGTGTGTTTTGTCTGCATGTATGTAAGTGCACCCATGTTGTACAATGCCCGTGGAAGCCAGAGATGGCATCAGATCGCCTGGAACTGGAGTTACAGGGGGTTACTAGCCTCCATTTGCTGCTGGGAACTGAATCCTAGTCCTCTGTAGGAGCAGTGGGCAGTGCTCATAACTGCTGAGCCATCTCTCATCTCTCCAGCCCTGTTTTTTATATATTGCAGATCAACCTTAGGTGTTTTCTCTTTCCACTTTGTTTTAGACAGAGTCTCTTGTTTGCCACTTTATACACTAGGCTAGCTGGCCCAAGAGCTTTTAGGGAGCTACCTGTCTCCTCCCATCTTGGCATAGGAGTTCTGGGATTGTAAACATGGGCTCTGGGGATCTGAATTCAGGTCCTCACACTTGCATGGTAAGTGCCTCACCCACTGAGCCATCTCCCTAGTCCTGATAATATATTTCTTTTTTGTTCATTTGTTTTTTGATTTTTTTTTTTTTTTGAGACAGGGTCTCCCTGTAGCCCTAGCTGGCCTGGAATTCACTAGAGTAGACCAGGCTGGCCTCAATCTCACAGAGACCTCTGCCTGCCTCTGTCTCTCAAGTGCTGGGATTAAAGGCATGCACCATCATGGTCAACTTGATATTATATTTCTTAAGTGGGCATCTTGCAATCTAGTTGAAAGATAATATTCCAAAGATAAAAGTTTCGAGGATGAAAATTTCCAAAAGAATCACGAAATGTTGTGCCCTTAGGATAAAGTCAAATATTTATGCTCCCAAGTGGTTGCTCTCAGATAAAAATTCATGAGGGAAAAAGCTCTTTGTTCATATTTTTTTGGAAAGCGTATGTGTAAGATGTGCACTAAGGGGGTTTAAAATGGTGCTATGGAAGTTGACTATGCATAGACCCACTGACCTGAGCATCCAGGCCTTTGCGAGTGCCACTGCTGTCTACTATCTCAACCTTTCTTCAGCCTATTCTGCCTTTTTTAAAAGATCTTATTTATATTTAAGTATGTGTATCTGTGTGTGTGTGTGTGTGTGTGTGTGTGTGTGTGCGCACAGAGATCAGAAGAAGGCATTGGATCCCCTGGAACTGGAAAGCCTATGATGTTCCTAATCTCATTTACCAAATATTTCTATTTGGGCAGTCAGAAATAGGGAAAAATGAAATATATGTAAAAATCCATATTTCAGAATTCTTGTAAAAAGGCCAATTACTTTAAAAATGGCTTCTATTCCTTTTTCTTCATTTTATTAGAAGCTCCTTAAATGTACACCTTTATATTGATTCTGATCATAACAGATGCCTCTTGGGATTGGGTGAAACAAAAATGTAGGGTCAATATCTCATTGCTGTGGGAGACTCCTGATGAGCATAACAGCTAAGATACAGTCTGGAATAAATGGTCTGGGAGAGTCCAGTGTGTGGCACACAGGTGGGAAGGTGACGGTAGGGTGAGTGCTGGGAGTATAGGGAGGAACTGGGTACTGGGCATGGGTGCACTGGGTACTTGGGGTACTGGAGGTACTATGTACTAGGTACTGGGTACTGGGGTTCTGAGTACTGGGGTACTAGATAGTGGGCACTGGGGTACTGGGGTTGAGGAGGTAGACTGCGTTAGGCTTCTCAAATGCTGGAGCTCTTAATGGCAGAGAACCCATGGTGACAAGATCATTTTGACTGGGTGGCAAATAAGTATGTATTGGCTTATGTGCTGTCTTGTGGCCCAGCTATGTTCATGAGACTACCTTCATTCAGAGTACAAAAGAGCGTCCAATGAAATAATTGTAAATTTTTACAACGAGATAACTCTTAAGTCCATAGGCTTTCTTTAAACGTGCAGATTCATGCTAAAGACTGTTTAATCTTTAATGAGCTAATAAAGTGACGATGCTATTAGAGTTTTAACTCAGTGTCCCATCAAACAAATGGTCTGCTTACAAGCGTGAGGCTGTTGCTAAATCGCAGGCTCAGTGATATGGTGGTGCACCTCTTCTTAACAAGAGATTGGGCCGATTATGAACATTTACACTTCTGCAGGCCCCTTTTCATTGTGTGTTTTCCACCTCATCATCACCCCACACTTATTAAGTACCTGCTGTGCATGAGATCATAAATCAGTGGATACAGGCTTTTCCTCTGACCATTCACATACCATTCAAAGACATATTGCTCTGCACACTTGTAAGAAACTTCTGCTTCTGACTGAAGATGGAGATGCATTTCTGCATTGGTCCTTCCCAAGGTCAGAAGGCATCAGATCTGCTCTGTTGCTTCTGAAATCTGGAACATTCCACCCGAAACTCATCACACACCAAGCACCTGCCTTCAGCCTCCTTGCAGCAGTCACTTCCTCGGGACCTTTTCTGGGGTGGAGGACCCTCATCTTTCCTCCCTCTGTTTTATTAACATTCTCTCACGACCTTTAAAAGGTGACCTTTAGGCTTACAAGAAAATGGAGTTTTTCTCTCTTGAAGAGAAATAGTAACTCTAACGTTTCCCAACTTGAAAAATTATTTAAATAGCCTATTAATAATAAAGCTATTATTTATTGAGTACCTACTTGAAATCTATCTTCTGTAATCCTCTGAATTGCCTTCTGAGGCTTGTATAATTAGCTCTACTTAAAGCTATCAGAACTGGTTTAGAGGCTACCTCATCTCAGGGCACAGGCTGACAGAGGAACAGAACCAGGCCTCCCACCTCTGGGTGCTGGGCCACGGCCTCCTCTGTTTCAGGCTCTGCTTGCTGAACTTGCCTCAGGCTCTGGGTCCTTTGGTCCACATGTTACTTCAGGTTTTTCTCACCTGGCTTTCAATCAGAAGTGAAGGTAAACATGGGCTTGAGCAGAGGTGGAAAGAAATGCCACTGTTAATACAGTTTGAAAGTAGACTCAATGAGATTCCCTTTTGGAAGGGATGTGGGATATGAGAGATGGTGAGAAGCCTTAGGTAGCTGGCAAGAGTTTGGGCCTGATCAACCCGAAGGATGGAGTTACTCTTTCTTGAATTGGGCAATTTGGGGAGGAGAAAGTTTGAGTGTGTGTGTGTGCGCAAGTGTGTGTATGTGGGCACCAGTGTGTGTGCATGTATTTGTGCATATGAGAGTGTGCGTGCACCAGTATATGTGTGTATGAGTCTATGTGTGTGAGTGTGTTTTTTAGTGTGCATGTGTGTATATATGTGTGCTTAGGTGGTAGTGGTGTCTGCAGTTCCTTTAGGACAAGTTATATTTGGGATGCAGTTACATAAACAAGAGTGGCCAGGGGCTCTGTAGTTAGTTACCTATATCATATTCAGGGTCAGCAGAAGGTCTAGGTTAAACTTGGTCTGTTAATCTATTTGCAGCTCTTTACAAACCGGCTAAATATAGGAAGCAGTAGGGCTGGTGCTCTTGCCTACCACAGTGGTTGACTAGGCTACTTTTTTTTTTTTTTTTCAAAAAGAAGTTTTACTGTAGTGTACAGAAAATGGCAGAAGGAGGGATTCAGAAGTAACCAGGGATCTCCTGTGGCCCCCAATGTAACGGTCTCCCAAAGACCTCAAGGTCCTCACCCCTGGAGCTGGGAACACTTAGGTTACGTGGGCAGAGGGAAAGAGGTTGCCAAGCTACAAGGAGCTGATGATTCAGGTAGGAAGAGGGACAAAGGAAGAAAGACAGTGTCCTTAACTCATGCAGCCTATTCCTGGCATGCCACAGAGTGCTGGAAGCTTCTCTTCTCACTTTGTTATGGCTTTAAACAGGGGATTCATGTTAGGGAGTCCATGATGTATGCCATCCCAAGGACCAAAGTCTCATTCCTCTGAGTGGGGAAAGGCTCAGCATCAGTTATGCAGGAGATGGAGGCAACCAGCAAGACTTACTGTCACCTCAAAGGGTCCTGTAGAGTATGGGCCTCTTTGTACCATTATCCTAAGATCTTGGCTTTAGTCAGAACTGAGAGAAGAAGGTGCTTGTTAGTACCTCAGTTGTTCTTGGGAGTTACCTGTTCCAGTCTGTAGGCCCTGTCATGGCCTTTTCCCATCACATGTAAGCCTCTGCCCACAGTGGTAGCCACCTCAAACATCCTTATTTCCATAACTATCTGGCCCCGTGCTGTCCAAGGCAGAGGTGCAGTTCTGGAGAGCTGAAGGGATGGACGAATGGATGGCTGGATGTCAAGGCACATGAGGTCCCACCCGCTCTCCCCCAGCAGAAGGGGAACAAGGCAAGAACACCACATTGCACAGACCACATAGAGAGCAACTGTTAATGCAGAAAAGCTTCTCAGAAAGGCACGTGATGTTTTGAAAACATCAAGAGTGACTTATGCTGAGAAATTTGAATAGATGAT